AGCAGTTGTGGTGTGGTGTCTTAAACTGCAGTTTAATTAAGTATTTATTATCTTCTTTATCTTTAATGTGTGCGTTATTTAAAAATATTTTTTTATGACTATATTGAGTATATCGGAGTTCTTAGGTTTTCGCGATTGTTACCACAATATGTTGACGAAACGTGGGTTTGTTTGAAAAAACAAATATACGCGATTAAAATCCGGAAAAAGTTTCATTGACTATATTGAGTTTTTAACCGACTACAAAAAAGGTATGTTACGCGATAACTCTGGTATTTGTAAACCGATTTTCATGATTCTTTTTTGTTGGAAAGAGGATACCTCTATAGTGATCCCATTTCATTTTGAAGAAAATCGTCCACCTCTAAGGGTGACTGTTCACGCATGAAGATTCATTTTTATAAATAGCGCCTAAATTTTATTATAAGGTGCAATTATTTTAATGGTTGATTTTGCTATTCTCCAATTCAAGAAGTTTTTCTCTAATATACTTATATACACACATCAAAAGTGTCTAGGGATCAAGTACGTTTAAGAGTATTGCTGCAATTAGGGTTAATTATATTAACTTTTTTGTATCGCTATTGATGCTTTTTAGTGAGTTTTAACATTTAAATAAGGAATATTGTTTAAAATTCCATAATAAGAAGAAAATCGATTGTCAATGTGGTTTTGTATAAAAATGAGTTATAGCGTTTTGACAAAATCATTACAATATCTGCATCGGAACCGAAACAATTTACATTATTATGGAGAGACGACATCATTTAACCCGAGAAGTGATGATGCGAGCCGTCGGAATGTTGGAAGCTGGTTCCAGGCAACGTGCTGTGGCTTTCACTCTTAACACTACACAGAGCGTCATAAGTCGCCTCTGGACGCGCTATCGCATGACGGGCAGCGTGGCCGAGCGACATGGAGGACGATCTCGCATCACGACTCGCAGACAGGACCGGTATATCCAAAATACTGCTCGACGGAATCGTACCATGACCGCCATGATGTTGGTTACGAGGCTCCACAGCTCCTCAGGCTTGCTAATAAGCGATCAAACAATCCGAAATCGTTTACGTGAAGTGGGTCTGCGATCCCGAAGGCCGCTCAGAGTTCCACCTATTGCACCCTGCAATCGCAGGACCCGTTTACAATGGGCTCGCGAACACAGAAACTGGGAGGAAGAAGACTGGCGCTATGTGTGCTTTTCGGATGAATCCCGCTTCGGTATGAGACCGGATACAAGACGTACTCGAGTTTGGAGAACATCTGGACGTCATGAACGTTTGAGATATTGTCAGGAAGTTCATCCATATGGTGGGGGAACAATAATGATATGGGCCGGTATTTGGATCGGCGGAAGAACCGATCTCATTTGGATCAGGGGTAACCTCAATGCTCAAGTTCACGCAGAGAGGATTGTTTCAGATGTTATCATCCCTTTGCGAGGCCAGTTGGGTGATTCATTTCAACTAATGCATGACAACGCACGTCCACACACGGCTAGAGTCGTAACACGCATTCTTGCCGAAGCTCGTATCAACGTTCTGCCGTGGCCTGCTCAATCGCCAGGCCTCAATCCAATTGAGCACGCATGGGATATGCTTCAAAGAAGAGCTGTGCCGAGTATGCATACCGTACATACTCTACAACAATATTTAGACTTGTTACAAAACACATGGGCGGCCATTCCTCAAAGTGATTTTGATGAACTCATCTTAAGCATGCCAAATCGCTGTAATTGTGTGATTCGTGTTAATGGTGGAAATACAGATTATTAATTTTCTTATCTTTACAATAAAAATGAGCAAAATCATCATTTTCGCCATTTTTTTGTCATTTAATTGACGCCGTTAATTTGAGTTTTTTCCCACAATTTGCAAAAACATCAATTTTAGTTTATTTTAATTAAATATAGGGGTAAGCGGTTAAATAAAACATAAGCATTAAAGTAAGAAGTCGTCCTGGAAGACTGGATTTGTTAAATATTGCTTAAATAATTTTTATTTCAAAAATATTCACTTGATCCCTAGACACTTTTGATGTGTGTACTTTGAGTAGTGAGAACGCATTTTTATTATCTCCTGTGTCCAGTCCTGTATAGTGGCGCACTAGGGGATATTTCAATAAAACTTTGCAAATAGACGTAATTCCACGTACTTTTGAGGTCGGTTTTTTTAGTACTCTGTACTGAGATTATTATTATTTATTTAATTCGTGGGCAATAGTAGTTGTTCAGTAAAATTGTTTATCATACTCGAGACTTTTTAGAGTAAAGTCGCTTTGAGTCGAATTTTGGAACTCGAGTTTTATTCAAAACTCGAATTAGGTTTACGACTCAACTTCTTTTCGCTCAACTCGACTCGAACTCGTAGGTTAGGCCACCGAGTCTTGCAAAAATGGGTCGAGTTCATAAATGTGGCCTAGACAATGTGTCTTTTTGTTAGCGATATCGCCAATGGAATGGAAAGACAATGTATGGGATTGACATAAGCGTATGAACTGTCAGTTGATGTAACGTAACGAACGAGATGGGAATGACATAAGCGTATGAAATGTCATTTGATGTAAAGTAACGAACGAGATACGAACGTAATGGAAGCGAATATCGTTACAAAATGTCGCTTCCATTCCGTTCCATCGCAGTATAAATTGAGCCGAAAGGATGACTGTGATTGTAATAATTTTATGTTCTTCCACCAGACACCTTATTCGTAAAAAATACACGGCTTAAAATACTATGAATAAAATTACGGCTAACCTCGAAATTACTAGTATCCGCAAGCATGTAGTGTTTGGCGATGCGGATAACCTCTTCTGATAGCTCAGCTATTTCTGCTCCACAAGATCTGCCTCTGTGAATAGTATAAGCGGTATATGATAGTTTTGCAAGATGATACATAAAAATAACCTGAACACAGAAAATTATGTCAAAACCAGAATGTATACATATAACACATTCTATATCTAGAAATGAAACAATTTTTTCGGATCTAAACCACAAATATATATAAACTTTATAATGTTTGTTGGAATGTAAAACACATTTCTGGCTCTATACAGGTCCCAAGGTCACAGCTGAGAGACTGGACTGTTTGTTAGAAAAAACAAATACATACACGATTCAGAAAAAGAAAAAGTTCCATTGCAAAAACCTAGAAACTAGATTCTATCTCTATTGTATATACACAGTGTACGTACTAGCTTTTAGCACAAATAATGCTTGGCAAGTAAGTCTTCGTTTCATAGTAAACAATAAATTCCAAGACGTAATTAAGTCACATCTCAGTATTTATTTCTAAAAACTTGCGGTTTAAGTATGAGGAAGACCAGCTGTTCAGTGACTGCAAATACTACAAGATACCTACTCATAAAGACTGGAGAAATTCATCTCATGCCAATACTGGGCAAAAACAGGATAAGTAAGCTTCTCGTCTTCTTTTGTGCAGCAATGAATGAACTCATCGCAGTCATCAGCAAACCCATCAGCAATATACACTAGTGAGATGTAGGTTTTTTCACGGCGCCGGACTGGAGTTTTCAATCGCTCACTCAATGGCGTGATTGACGATGAACCTGGTCTTCTGGAATCTACAGATAACATTGTCAATTTAGTAATGCCATAGGAAAAATAAATATGGTTAAGGGCGTCTTCAAATTAGATGCTTATAGATGCAATGAAATGGCACCACTATGGCACAGCAGTCGTGCTACATTACTACTAATATACATACAAATTTTAGAAGAGCAGTTGCAGCACCACCTGTTGTGACATGCATGAGCCACTTTTGCAATCATAGTAAGTGAACTAACAATTACTGAAGCGCCATAGATGCGCCACTGCGTCGCTCCTTTTACGCCTGAAACACTTGTGCGCCTAATTTGAGGGAGGGAGCATTCTACGTGCATAGACTGTCAGAGCCGAAGCAAAAAGCACAAGCTTTTGTGCACTCATTCCACATACATAAAGCTATTCCTTACTAGCTCAGTTAAATGACTTCATGATAAGACACTAGAAATCCAATATGTGAATTAATTATCCATTCGCATCCTATCAAACTTGAAAACAATTTTGAACTTCAGCATAAAATGATAATCTTTATTTTCATAATGTATTCAGAACTTCAAAAGTGGAACAATAAAATATTGGCATTGCTTTGCAGGAATCCATGTCAATAAAAATGGAAGTAAATTACTTTGCAAGTCTGTATATTTTTTCCATGCAGTTAATTTCCCCAGGAAGCCTCATAAAGAGGCAAACGCATGTTGAGTTTATTTTTGGTGGTTATGTTTGGGACAATAGTTATGCATGTGTTATTTACTTTAATAATAACAGAGAGTGGCAAATTGAACCTCTGGCGCGTCCTCCTGATCAACTGTGGTCCATTACGCTTTTACTACCAGTAGCAGTGGCAAACATGAACATTATTTTTGATAATTTTAGATGTTGGCAAACTTGTAAAATTAATTGTAGCAAAAAGTAAAAACAATTATTGAGAATTTTTTCTTGTTTCTCAGAGGGATGTGCAGCAAGTCAAGTGCAAGAAAAAAAAATCAACTGAAGTGCATCTATTTTGCACAATTTGAAAACAATCATTTTAACCTTCAATTGAAGTGAAGTTCTTGCAGAGTAGAAAAAATACTCCCATTTTTATCAAAATTAAGACAGAAAATTGCTTTCATTCCATGTATCAGGCTAAATTTCAGATGATTAGGCTTCTGATTATCTATTTAATGCCTTGTTTCTTGGTAAAATAGAAAATATATCAGCTATTCTATCCTCGGAACAAAAAAGGCACAACTGCTGTGTAAAGTATGCATAGTTGTGCCTTTTTTTGTTACAAGTACAAGTATTGGCTGGTTGATAATAATAATAACATTTCAAAGGGTAGAAGGTCCAACGCCAGATTGCACATTTCACATTTTAATTATTATATTATGCAGTATAGACATCTGTGGCCTGTTTCTTTTCCTTCTCTGTAGCGTTTTATTAAGTTATTAAGTTTTTCTCGTTATTCTTGCAATGTTTCGCGTGACATCGGTCTCAACGGCTTAGTCTGTCTATACCCTATATTTCTTGCGTTAAATAAAAAAAACACGATATACTTTCGTAAATACCAAGATTTATCGGCATCAATAATTCAAAGAATTTATAATAAATAAATTATTGTTCTTTTTCTTTTTACTTATTGGCGGTAAAAGTTACAAGGGCCCTTTGTAGGTTTTCGCCAACATCGAGTTTTCTGTTTAGTAATTTTAGGGGCTTATGCTGGTTCTGCTATTCAACGAGTATTGTGGAAATACTACGTGAGACAGTTTTTAAGCAAATTATTTGTTACTTGAACGATTAGAGACTAATGACTATATTTTTGCTTAAAAACTGCCGTGTGTTATTTATTAGACGCCTATTTATCAAAAAAAGTACTTACGAGTCATGTTGTAGCTCTTTCAATCAGTCTTAAGACACAAACACAAATAATTATGCAATTAAACAAAGTTATCGTTTGTTTCATTGCATAATATTCTCTGTAAATAAATTAGGATAAGAAAAGTTCAATATTTTCGAGCAAGTTTAGATTTCCGACAACTTCAGGAAAATTTCATGGGATTTTAGTCTTTTGACAGTTAAGTTCTTTTTTTGTTTTGTTTCTGGCACTTCGCGGTTTGCGTTTGTGCCACTGCAAAACGGGGAAACTGTGAATAAGTTCCAATAAAGAAAACAGTGGAAAGGAAAAATAATTTGTGAAAAAGGATCAGGGAAGTGCGATTAAGGTTAAATAGGAATACATAAACATAAGAATTATATGACAAACGTAATATATTTATAATTTGATATAATTGAAAGTTATAAACGAAGTGAAACATTTAAAGATAATAGGACTATTAGATGACAAAATAAGCTTTACAGTAGTAGTAAGAGGGAATCCAATGGAGATGAGGACATGGAACAAAAAGGAATTATCGTATAAAGGACAGTTGAGTACAACATGATTTAGCTCACCTATCCACACTCGCAAAGGTTACTCGTGTATGACATGGTTACATGTTAATTGTAGACGTCTATAATTTTAAACTTGGCTAAGTGGGCCGGAGAACACACATGCCCCAGTCTCATGCGAATCAGTACACTTGTGGCCAACTGTCCAAATTTCATTTTGGAAAACCAAGACTTAGTAGAAATAGAGGGCTGTATACTCGCATAAAACGATCCCTTCGTACGGCAGCTAACAGTCCAAAATTCCTGTCAGGAATTCCTGAGAGAAATCGCGGACAATGCACTCAAATCATGACAGTAATTAGTAAAAAATGCTACATCACCGCAATCAATCGCCTCACCCGCCAGTTGGTCTGCACGTTCATTGCCTGGGATGCCGCAATGACTCGGCACCCAACCAAACACTACAGAATAACCTTTTCTTCTACCCTGATAAAGTAAATTTCTAGTTTCTAATATAATGGGGCAAATCAGTTTCGAACTAAACGGAAACTTGGACAATGATTGCGATGCGCTCATAGAGTCGGAAAATATTATACTGTTGTTTAACTTAGTTATTAGAATAACCTTTACACTTTTAAACAAACCAAAACATTCTCCGGTGAATACAGAAGTTTCAGGTGGTAACTTAATCTTTTGGACTATTTTAGATTGCTGATGAACCTTAGAAGTTATTTATATATAAGTTAGAACCTCGTAAGTATAACAAAAAAGAGGATAGTGAGAATACTGATAAGTGGGGGTTTGAAGAGCAAGGTATTTATGAAAACTAAAGACAAGACATGATAGACATTTTCGAATCCAGTATGGAGAAGATGTTATTTCTCGAGAGAGACATTGTAGTTTGTTTATAAGAGGATCATTTGAAAGTTGCAAGAATCGACAGAAATACCTGTCAGACAAAAATTGACGAAGTGGAGGATCTACACACTCGACCTGCAATGCGTTTATGGGGCTAAACTTCATTGCACTTGACAGAATTCCTAATTCAAAGCCTTTGATTGAATATTGTCTAACTTTCCAGATGCCGTAACACTACTTGGCTCCAAAAGAAAGGTGGCGTAGTCCTACACACTCCTTATTAATGCACCCCACCAGACACCAGTAAGAAATTTTAGAATATTTAGGTTGTGAACGTAACCTAAATATTCTAAATTTAGCCGTAATGTAGGTATTCACAGTGAGAAATACCAGTGACTTTAGCGTCCAGTACAATACGTAGAAATTTATTTTGAAGTCTAACTGGAATAGGAATCATAAACAATTTCAAGATCCGGTGGGTAGCACATCCTACAGAACAAGACTATTACACTTTTTCAAGCAGACAGACAAAGTCCATTAGCATCAAACCAAAGTTTAAAAAAATTGAGAGATGACAAAATATTAAAAGCTATAGGAATGTAAGTATCAGATGCGCACAACAGCTGAGTGAAGAATTTCCACTCATTATCCTTCAATGCAGCCTGCCCGGCCGTCCGCCACACGAAGCAGGATTGTGAATGTAGTTGCAGCGTGCACTTGCATAATGTATAGGCCCTTTTAAGTATGGCGCTATTTTAATTCTATACTTATCGACATAGATAAATAAAATTCTTACATCATTGTACTTGGATCAGTTCCAAAGTAAAAAATATGGTATGTCATTGTAAAAACTATGCCACTAGGTATTAATTACGCACTCACAATCTTATACAACTTCAACAAAAAGCGAAAACGTTGGAAACTCGTATAAACTAGGGGACCGCTACCTATATAAAGTTATTAAACTCATGTAGATGTGGTTACTGTGACGTTGAGGTTCATGTTTTTTGTATTATTGATAGATTTGTTCGAAAGAACTGCAGAGTGTGCTGCTCGTAACACTATTTTGTAGCTCATAACTGGCTGAGTGAAGAAATTTTCGTAAGGTTCTCCCGGGTGGCGGCAATAAAAAAGTCGTTTATGCCCAATACTAAGATCTGTAGCAATAGCAAGCACAGAGAAAAATTCGTACCATCTGCTGAACAGTCGGTTCGTAGCTCACTTGATAAAAAAAGCTGTAGTCACGTAGCGGCAATAGACACTGGTTTGAGATCAGTCATCTGGTGATCTGGGGGGGTTGCTTTGTTTGTTCGATTTTTATACCAATAATATTATAAACAAATGTCAGAATCTAGGATACAATGATTTCATTCTGTCCACGCTCTATATAAATCTCATAAAACGTTTCATGTAATCGATCTATTCGTGTGGCTTTATTCCAAAGTGCTCATAATCTATTATGTATTAGGTACTCTAGTACCTATTTGAAATTCGACTAAGTTGGTTCTGTCGCTAAAAAAGAATTAGATATCCACTCAATGCAAATTAAACTGGATGACATGGGGATATTATCCTAATGCCACTCCAACAGAGCTGTAAAAGCTAGTGAACCTATAAAAATAAAATTCCCAACTAACAGTAAATTATTTATTTATCTACACAACTCTAATACATATGCATTCGTATAAGGAAAAATAAAAAGACCGCAGTGTTATGCTTACAGTAATATTTTAATCTTGATTATTTTCGATTTTGGTAATTCAATAACGCATCAGTTACGTATGGCAACACTAATAACCATAGACAAACGATTAATCCACAGAGAGGTGCTTTGACGCGTTTTTGTTGAAAGTTTTGCAGATAGAATCTACGTATAACTAAAAATTGCTTATAGGGGCGCCTTCTCAACTAATTTGTACCAGTGACCACATTCACAGCGGCGGGGATGATTCTGAAACATAATAATTTACCATTTTATTACTAATAACACCTCTGACCATTTGAGGCGATATCACAAATATAAGAAATTTGTATGGAATCAATCCAACATATCAGTGAACCTGATTGACTAAACTGTCGACTGACTTCTTATTAGTAGTGTAGACTGGGCTTTACGTCGTCTGTATTAGCAGTATCTAGTCACTAGTACTATACAGAAGCTACGCTAACACACACCCCACAAAGACACATTATTACTAATTTGTATGGTAGATTTACCTAAGCAGAACGATCAAGAAACTTTATACTATGTGATGGAATTCGAGATCAAAATTGTAAACACATATACAACTGTCACTGTTAAAATGAATTTGAATGTTAATGCAGACTCTACTCTTGCTATTAACAGTATATTTATTTATTCCTTATTCTTCTTATTGAGAAAATGACAAAAACAAAAAAATGAAAAAAAAAACAAACCGGTGTTAAATTTCTTTGGCCTAGTAAGTAGTCACCTCTATGCCCCAATCCGTTGCCTTCAGTAGGTCTTTGCGAGTGAAGTGCAGCTGGTTGGACACAGTGGGCAAGAAAGCAGGTGAGACATACTTTGTATGGGGCATCCGCAAGCACAACGGTTTTGAGTGGAGTTCATTGATATAGCCATATTTCACCATGTTTGTTGTTTTGAAATTCTTTATTAAAAGATTTAACAATGATTATTGTCTACTCGTAGTAACGAAACGCTCAATTACGTCATGTATGGCATAAAAACCATATAAAAAAGGCCGAAGTATCCCCGAAATATTCTTATTGGAATAAATGTAGCACAAGAATAACTTGTTATGACTTTATGTTATTCAATAAATGGGGTGTATAAAATAATGTAAACTATTAATAATATTTTGTTTGTTCATTTTTTAAAGTTTTTCACATTTTCACGATTTTTATATTATTGATAATATTTATTTTTAAATATCATACATTTTGTCTTTCTAAGTTTCGTGAATGCTATATTTTGATATTATCAACTGAAATCTTAGTACACAAGCGTATAAGTCCATTGACCCATAAATTAATTTCTGACTTCGTGAAGATGGCTACCAAGAACGGCCAGTTTACTGTTTACGTGACATTTCCAAGTCTAAATAAAGTATATACATATATATACAAACGGACTAAACAGGAATTCAAAGAAGACCTGTTGGCAGAAAACCTACAAACCACTCAGCCATCAAGGCGTAACATAACAAACTCTCACCTTGTGTACCCAGAGCCAAGTGACAGCTGTGGCGTGCTCCTCGCCTGAAACAATAACCAATAAAAATTTAACAATGTAGTTAAATACACATCACTGTTTGATTTACAATTCATTGACCTGTTCATATAATCGCAAAATTATCGACCCACAATAGGGTACTTGACAATTTATTTTATTGCTTCAATAAGGCCACAAAAATATGCTGAAAATGTATCTAAAACACCAGACATATTAAATGGTAAAATTCAAGTAAGGGCTTCTTCGTCCCTTTTTAGCAAGACTATTATTAGTGTGCAGCTTGTGCGGCACCATTATGGTCATGATATGTATAACAAACAAGTTTCCTCTGCCTGATTGCAACTAACAGGGTCAAAAGCATGTCAAGCTTGACACTTAACATTAAAATTCAAATCTACGTTTTTTTCAAATACTACCAAATGACGGGCCGAACAAGTCGTATGCCTGATGGTAAGCTACACGCCTGGCCATAACAGTTGCAGTGCCACTCGGAGTGATAAATTGCAAAGATCTGAGGGGCACTTGCAAGTATGCCTGTCACACTGAGACATAAGTTGACAAGTTCCACGTGCCTGTAATTTCACCAGCACCCTTACCCTTCCAAACCGGTACGCAGTAATGCTCTCATTACTGCTTGGTGGCAGATGTTTGCAATAAATCGGTATATAGTCCAAAGTGTCGAGTTTAATGTGCTCTCGACTGTACTTTTCAAATAATTTCAATTCTGTGTCCATATTCAACCATCCATTTTCGGCAGATACAAAAAGTCTCCATTTTAATTAAATAATAATTAGCTTACGCAAAGAACTCATTAATTTCATAACAATCTGTTTAAAACAGCAAAAATGACTATTTCCATAAAATTAAAAATGTTATTGTAGTAGCCTGCACAACATTATCAATACAAAACTAATCTATACTAATACTGTAGATGCGAATGTAACTCTGCTTGTTACATTTTCACACCTAAACCGCTGACCTAATATTGATGAATTTTTGTATAGAGATAGGTGGGACCTAGGAGAAGGACATAGGTTACTTTTGTTATAAACATAAACCTTAAGGGGGCAGAAATAGAGGATGAACGTTTATATGGACAACCAATAAAACTCTGAAAATAAGTAGACATGGCAAAAACGGCTGTTTGTCGATAATTAATTTTACTGTTATGCGATTTTTCAACAACTGTTATTGTAAACTATAACAGTTGTAATCAGAAAACCTTTTATTCTGCTGTTATGTAGTTTTGGCATACAATATGGCAATGATAGCGAATGAATATTACTAAATTTCTTACATTTTTCGCAACTTTTCATCTTCTCGCGTAATCCGTAAGTAATTCTTGTTTTTAAGGCAATTTTCGTAACTTTTGTGGTAATCCAACTTTAACTGTTATTGTAAATCCTAAATAGTTTACGAACATACCCAAATTAGACAAAAAAGTAACTTAGATATGGTGCAAACAAGATGAAATCAATCAATTGCAGTAATTATGGCTTGATTTTTCTTGAGCGTACTTTTTTATTTTTAGGATGTAAGCTCATAATTATAATATATTTTACAGTTACAATTTTTAATTAAAAAAAAAAACTTATAAAATGTAAATTTTGTAGACAATAATGTAACTTTTGTAATTTTCGACTCAAGGGCTTGGCAACACCACGGCAACATTGTTATTATAACCTGTTATTTTCGATTTAATCGCGGATAACGGATGACTATCCGCAATTCACACAATGAAATAAAATCTGCTACTGTTATAAAGCTATTGTAGCCATTAACCAATAAACCAAAACAAAATGGATGTTTTCGGCACCAGCCCCCGTAGCATGACTACGCATGATAATCGCGATGCGCGCGATAAAATTGAAATAAGCGGGCGCTATTGGTTATCTAAATTAGATCTGATTGAGATAGCCAATAACGCGCGTTTATTTCAATTTTATCGCGCGCGTCGCGACAATCATGCGTAGCCATGCTATAGAGCAGTTGTATTTACATTGATTGATATTAACTGCCTATCGATATGGAATATTAAAATCGACATTATTCCAATCGCATAAAGCATAAAATCGTGGTTTCAAGTATCTGACTTAATAATAATAAATAAATAAATAACGCACACACTCAACATAGCCTCGCACTAGGGAAACCCTGTGTCGCGGGTGCCATGGACACACACATAGACAACCACAAATTACACCCAAACTCACGAGAGAAATAAATGTAAGGCATACAAACATTTCTCCCGGCCCGGGAATCGATCCTGGGACCTCTGCGTGGCATGGTAACCGTTCGGCCACGGAGGCAGTTGAATATATAATATGTTAATAAGATAACAGATAACAATCAAATATAAAATGAAAAAGAGAACTTTACATTGTGCACTGAAAGACAATAACGGTAAGATTTGCAAATCGTAGCATCGTCCAATCATTTGATTAGCGGTATTGTCTCTCATTGCCTATTGGCTATTGCACACCGGCTTGATCGCACTAAGTAATCACAACAGTAGAATAGCAGCATAACAACAGCAGTATAGACAGTTGTTCGATAATGAGCAGTGATCGGAATTGAGAGAGTTAATTTGGCTAAACTAAAGAACAACGTGGACATTCCCTTCTACAAATTTGGAGATTTCTCCAAACTGATTATATTTGAATATGCGTATTATTTATTGACATCTGAGTATATTGGCGACAAATTATTATTTCCTATTAAGTATTTGCTACAAGTCATTATCTCAAAAAATTATATTATAGATGTGTTTCTGTAGGAACTTACATATTCATATACTTCAGCCATTTAAAGAATAAACATGAGACAACCTATACTTTGGAATTTTCAAAAAAAAACGCATTGATGACGAAATGGGTATGTCCATACCAAGAAAACGTTCATACTTTAGATAGATTAACTCCCTCGATTCCGATAACTGATAATGAGTTATACATTGAGTAAGAATAATGCATTGTTTGCTGTTGTAATAATGACCAAATTACCATCTCCAAAAATTAGTATAGTACAGTAGCTATTCGAAGTACGAATTCTACGCAGACGACGTGGTCGCTGGCACCGGCTATTAAGTACAACATGTTCACTTTCCATTTTGATACATTTAAGGAACTCTAACTCTATTAATAAACCAGAATGTCCGTGCTAAAGGGTTTTTGTCTCACGCCACATAAAACATTATGGAACGATTGATATTGGAACTGATGCAATGAAAACGAATGTAGAAGGAACAGTAAATAAAATTTTATCGTTGCTTCATACAATAATTTAATTGACAATATTTGCTTTATTGAGTATCATTTCATGATGTTTTAAGTATCATGATATTCAAATATTTTTTGTGAAAATTAGTGAACCAGTTTGTTGTTAAGATCCAACAAATGCAAAGAAAAATTTCTTCGATCCAGCTAGACTCAAACCAGCTACTTTTTCGCCAAAACAAATTTATTGCTCTCCCTACTGAGCTACGGCATGAGTTTGCAGACCTTACGAATTTGTTTTTGGAGAGAGTGAAAAACTTGTGAGAAATATATGAAAGGAGAGCGATAGCCCCGGTTTGACGAAAAAGTGGCTGGTTCGAATCCCAATCGAAGGAATTTTTCTATGTGTTTGTTCCATCTTTGCATCAATATACTATTGGCAATGTTAACACCTACCGGTTAGCACTATGGGTGTTAGATGAAAAGATCCCTAGTCAATCAAAGACTATTTTCGGAAATCAAACTTGTCTACCAGTACCATTCTGGGTATCTTTGGTAATGTTCTGGAGCTAATTTCTTAGCTCTAGTACTTATAGTACACGAAAATCCGTAGCTTGCGGCCAGTGCTGTAGGAAGTGTATTCTACAATGTCATGCCAGTCAACATTCAATCTTATACTACTTAGAGGGTCTACGATAGTAACGTCACGCGCTCGTTGTAAGCTACGCGCCCTCTAGCGTTCGGCGCGAACCATCGTCCGCGCGGTTGCGAAGGATTAGCGGCCCACATTCCTCAGGCGGCCTTGAACCCTTCGCTGTTTTAATCAGGGGTGCTGTAAAATTTGCTATACAAAATAGTCAACAATTTCCTCTTTAGTGACAACTAGAGGTGTTGTTTGCTGGCACTCTATTAGTTAACATTGTAGTTTAGAAAAAAACCTTTCTAATCCTATATTTAGCCTCCCTCCATTAACTTTCATGCTCCCCAAAGCGTATAGCAAACCCAGGAGTATGATAAGATTCTTGGAGGAGCTCGAGTGGCATGAGTTGGACACTGTACCTATCACACGCAAAATAAGCGCCTATATGTGGAGTTGCGGACACCAGCCCGTTATACAATACCATACCACCCTATTATTCATTTCATCTTGTTTGTGGCTGGTTTCTATCAATTGCCATTGCTGCAAGTACCTAATCATTACAGTAAAGAACCTGAAAATGTTGGTACGTTTGAGAAAATAAATATATGCGATTTAGATTTGAAATATTATGTGTATTCTTATTAACCTTTCCAATCAAGTTTGGTTCATGGATAACATATTGTGATTGTATGGAATATGTGTTTGTAAACATGATCACATTCAGATATGTTTATTGGATGATTTAAAGAATGTTTGCTAGGTATTTCCTTTCATCATTGGACAATATGGATTACTTACATATGCAACCAACAATGCGGGCATCGAAACAAGAAGGCACAAGTGTAGGTTGTTCACGTGTGCCAGCAGCCTTCTTCAACACCTTCATGTTGAAAGGATCATCGTCTCCAGACTCAAGTGCTAGCAATTCCTTCTTCTCAAGACCGGTTGCATGCTCAAGTGGGTCGGGCATCACTAGGGGTGTTATAAAAGTTACATGAAATCTTTGTGCTACTGTACATTGCTAATGTGTGCAATAAAAAGCTTATTTATTTTATCTTATAGTACAGTGAATTCCCAGTTCAACTGCCTCAACCATTTATTATGATAACAAGTGTACAAAATTATTTCATCCTACATTTGGAATATTAAAACACATATATATGTCAAAACAGCAGTGACAAAGTGTTTGATGGTTAAAATTACGATCTCCAAGCCCAATATCATAAAGCCATAAGGCACAATTTCAAATTATCCCTCTTATTTCTGTACACACTGCTTTTAACTCAGCAATTAATTGGTTACAACACAATTATTTAAAAAAAAATTGATTGTGGCCATAACTGTTTTTAATACTTTTGGAGCTTTTTTTTGGCTAACTCAAAATTGTATTTTATTTTGGAATTCGTTCAAAAATAATACTAGAAATATGTCTAACATATTATATAATGCTTCAGTCAAATTTATGTATTTTTTAAAACATAACAAGTTACAATTGTTTGTTTACTGTTTTGTAGATTGCATTTAAAGTTACATACTATGGTCTTCTTTAGCTGTCAAATTGGGCCTCTTACATTGTAACAACTATAAACAATAACATTGATACAAAAAGATCAATAAAAAAAATTATACAGGGTTTTTCAAAAAAAATTTTTATTTTGTATTTTATTTGAATTTTAATATTAAGTAACTCCTTCAATTGCCTCAATTATGTTAAACATGAACATTTTAAGTCTAATTAAAAATAAATACAGATATTGAATCTCCATGGATTACGTGTGTAACATAATTTACGTTGACATATCCTGTAGATAAAAGGAAAAGCCAGATAAGATTATGTAGTCATCATAACCTATGGGCAACAAGCAAATGTATAAAACACATACAGTATTAAATGGTTTATTAAAATATAATATGTTTATTTAAGATATTTGTGAAAGAACTGAACGGTAATTGACTAGAAAATGAACTAGATATCGTACAAAATTTGCGAAAAACGCAATCGATAAAACGTGCGTGAATGCTTCAATGAATAGAAAATTATTAACATATTCATAGCACCTATGCTACTTATTTGGTGGCACAAATATAAAGGTCTATTATCTCATACATTTTGCAACTAAACATTAAGATTTTGCGGTGCATTTCCCACGATTTACAACTTTTTTGACATTACGTAACGAAATTGTGACAACCACAGTGGTAAATACTATGTAGAAAATTTATATAATTCTTACTTTTGTCGGAATACGCCCGTCGAACGGCGGGCATGACGACAGCCCTGAGAGAATTTACGCGAAGAATTTGCCTACAAAGCGATGCCATTTTCAGTATTTTTCACACTAAATCGCTTCTCACATTAGCAAGTAAAAAACTTTTTTTATTATAGAGGTTAAGTAAAAACCGGAAAACCGATTGTGACAAATTGGCTGTCACATGATTGTCACCTTTTTTTTTAACTGCCAGTTTGTCGAAAGTGATCAAAGACGTAATGAGGTAGAGCCCAAGTGGACATGGCCCCTAGAACGGCTTATTTTTTTCTTTATAGCGGTCACTAGACTTGTGCCAGTGGCAGTTTTATAAGAATAATATAAAAGTCATGGCGATCATCGCCAGTGCCCCGAAACGTAGCGATGGGCGAGTTGAGTTATTAATATCGATTAACTCGAGTTACTCCCACAACGAGTCTACTCGAGCTACTTTTTTATGAACTCGAGCTAGCTCATTTCGGTACCCGCCCCGTCGAGCCAAATACTTCATTCATACCTTTAGTATGTACTACTCATCTATAATTCATAAGCGCACCATCTATTCGTTCCCACTCGGTCGGTTCGGCGACTTTCGAAGCACGCTCGCATCGCGGTCGGCCGCCCGATCGTGCCCAATTCGGTGAATCGTCGCCGTCGGTTCGAGTTTATAGGAATATACACCGCATCGCTCTCGCTGCTCGCGATTCGCGATTGCTCTGTCAGAGACCGAATCGAATCAACTCGAGTAACTCGAGTTGAAAAAAATATAACACGTTCCATCGCGTAAGTGACGGTTGCAGCAAAATTACATAACGTCACGGAGTCACTAGTCATCAAGTTTTTATTTTATGTTTTACATCAACCAGCTTACTGATTGTAAAAGAATCAACTAGACTTAAGGCAAACACAGAAAATAAAAAATATAATATTATTTTGACGCCCATTTATTTTAATTAATATCACATGGAAAAAAATATCATAGTTTGAATTCAGTTATTCTAGAATAGACCTACAATCTTCTATCGATGACATTTTTCATCAAAGAATTTTCTCTTGTATTCATAAGCAGCTGAAATGAACATATACATAATTATTTCAGTTTACAATCGACTAAATTAGTGAAACACTGACATCGCATAGTCTACGAGCCCCTAGGGTACCAAAATCTGCCTGCATTAATGAGGAATAAACGCAGAAAAAATATACATATAAAGGACTATTTTATATTTTTTTTTACTTTTTTTATTTTGGACATCAATTATCTATCTTTAAATTTATTTCTTCTTTCAATCTTTCTAATTGCACTATGTTGTCTAATATTTATCAAAAATTGATATTATATAAATTTCGGGCGACTTTACTCTGGAATATAAAACGATTATAAAAAAGGTTCCCAGGAAGCCAATGACGTTTTATCGAGAAGCTAGAACAAAAATCAATTTATTGATTTTCTTTTCCCGTAATAAATGTTGCTTTAAACTATTTTCGTACTTACTTACTCTTAAAACAAATTGTACTTTTCGACGAATTTTATAAATTTTACTGCCGCACAAGATCATAGCTGTAACGACCCTTGGATGAAATCAATTTCTCGTTCGTCCACTTCTCTGTATGAAACAGCCCTTGAAAGAATTCAGTCGTACATCAATTTCCCCTTCTTCAAGCTGAAAAAGAAAATGCTTACCTGGAACTTAACGCAAAATGCTATTTCAGAACATTTATGTTAAATGTCTGAGTAGTATCGTTACAATTTTTATACATATGGACTCTTTTAAAATTAAAAGAAAAAAAGGTATTTTTTCATGAAGGTGGACAATAAGTTTATTTTACAGTTTATTTACCGGGTCTGCCTGATAAAGTTCCCTGTAACATGATGGTGAAACGCATTCTCGTATACAACGAGTCTTTATCAAACCACTTAAATGGCTACAAGCACTGCTTTGTTCACATGCTGACTCAAATTCTCTGAAAGTCATGTCCTGAAAACATTACATAATGTTTAATTATTATAATTTATATTACATAACATCAACGTTACATACCTATTCAAAACGTAACAGTAGCAGACAGATAAATGTGCATGCATGCGTGTGTGTTTCACAAATCGGTATTTCTATGAAAATAACTGCAATTGCGTAAGTGATACATACGTTTTTCGGTGAATCCTTATACTGATATTCCTTAAAAGAAAATGTCACTGGTGTTTGATCAGCAGCACTTTTGCAAGCTCCGTACAAAGCTAAAATGATATACCAACCAAACAACACAGATACACGGAACATTTTTATTATTACGTATTGCCGTGTCCCGTTCTATACAAATTCTGCGTATGAAAAATCGATAATCTGTAAGCTTGTTGTTGAATGATTGAGAAACATGCGCAGTACAGCTGAGGTCTACAAAATCCAAAGTCAGCGTAGTTATAAATAATAATCAAAAATCGTGATCGTTTACTGTTCAATAAGAACAATTTTATAGTTATGTTTTACATTTGTGAAGTAATATAGTAAATTACGCTCTATTTTTTCCAGTCGATTAAAATATTAATAGATTACCGGTTTTGTTGTGTAGTAACTCTAGAGGTGAATGTACGTTTAGAAACAATGTCCGTTTCTTGGATTCTATTATGAGTCGTTCCGTCGTTTCGAGCAAATCACTTGGCTCCTAAGTCGTATGAAATGCAGACTTAAAAATTGTTTTATTGAAAAAGGCTTAAAAAAAGGTGTCACAGTAAAGTAAAACTATTATTGTTTAATCCTAGGATGGAAAAAAGGATACAGGAAGTATATTCTGAAAACGAGCTTTATACCGTAAATTAAAAAAAACCTTTCACAAAAACATATGTACCAAAATTTCATTACGGGTGGTAATTGGTGGTATTCCAAACCTTATAATAAGAGATTGTTCGAAACGACCAACCTATAACGTTCATCAAACGTTCATCAACATAAAATTTAACTTTTCTAAGGCAAATTTGTATATTTTGCATACTTTCTTATGTTATTTAATAACGATTAATTATTTATAAACTACTGATTTTTAAATAGAATCCTTCACAGAAAGAGTCGAAATTATTATTTTGGTAAACGAAAATCTTCCGAAAAAAATTAAATCAAAATCATAAACTGCGTCTTTTCCGAGTCGAGGCATCTGGCATATAATATTGTGGATGGGCTACCCAACTGGATCGATTCCGATTTGAATTAAAATCAAGGCCTAAATTTCTATTTACTGTGTGGCCCGATTTTCGGACACCCCCTCCTTCCAAACTAGTGAAACATCTAGTGAAGAGTACATATGCATCACTCTGAATCAAAATATTCGCAATCTCGGTGGTCAAAAATTATTTTGTTGTCATTGAATTTTCCAAGGTAAGTGCGAGAGGTAAAAATATTATTTATGCCAATCTATTTTATATGTTAGGGCCATTCTTTAGAGGATGGAAGGCCATTCTTCGTTACATTTCATCTTAGAGGATGGAAAAATGTGTCACTAACAAACTCAAGTAATCGAAGAAAATAAGTTTAAAAAAAATAAAGTCACGACTTAGTTCTTTAAGTATACGGTGATAATTAATATAATATTGTTTTATTGATAATTGTTCATATGTAACAATTTCAATAATTTCAGACAGTAATTTGCAACATTTACATTGCAACCTTTACAAAATTTTATTATTATTACTATCTTCAAAGATTTTAGTACTTCCCAAGCATACATCATTACCATCCACCTGTACCTCATTACCATTCTTGTGTATTTCACTACCTTCCACACTTAATTCATTACCTTCTTGTCATAATTCATTACCATCCATTCCTTCATTACCTTTCTATTTTTTGCAAGAATCAAGAACTTTATATACCTTTACGTGCCTTTGACACTAAAACTATAACTAAGACGAAAACGATCACGATTAAAAACTTTGTAAATATTTGCATTTTTTTTTCGTTCTGCCAAAATGAACGAATTTGCTCGAAACGGCGGAACGACACATAAATATTAAAAACGGAAGAGACTGAATTTAATATTTTTATTTTACACTTTTATCTGATTTATTATTATTATTCTTATTATTATTTGAGTTTGCTGCACTTACGTCAATTAAAATTGTATTTTGATCTAAAAAAAAAATATCCCAGATAACAATTAAGGGAAAAGCGTAGACGGAGAAAGGGAAAAGTTTATATATTTTGAGCGTACTGCAGTCCTAAGTATTGCCATTAAAACATGTATTTACGTTTATGGTAGTAATACAATAATTAACTATAGATTGAGTTTTCTTTTTTGATTTGTGATGTTGCCATGTTTTCAGAAAATCTACTACATGAGAGGTCTTGTGTTGTAGTAATTGGTAGTTTTTTGCGAAATGTCGTCACGTAACAGCGAAAAATGAGTTGATTCGCGATTTTCTTGAATGGTTTTGTGATTTTTATTTTTCTGTAATACCCAGGTAGTTTCCCAGTGCAAACCTTAAGAGGACAGAAAAAAACTACAGCTAACTGTTTAATAGTGGCTTAGACCTTTGTTTTTGTGTTTCATTGTGAAGAAAAGTGTAGTTTCCTATCGAGAAAGGGCATATCTCTACCACAATAATAATCAGCATTTTGTAAGTTATTTTATTGTTTTCTTTTAACTTAGATTATTAGCATAACATTACTTATTATTATGTTAACAACAGCTTAATAAAGTAGTGGTAATGTACGTGAAATGTTAATTACGCCAGACAAATTCATTTTAGATTGAGCGAACCTGTTGTGATCAAAATATTTCTATTAAATAGATAGAATAGTACCTAGGATAAAGTAATGCCTACGCCAAGGTAGCTGGGAACCGATATAGATTTTTTAATTATTAAATAAAATTGTAAATTCCAATTAGAAAAAGAAAAGGTTTATTTTAAATTATTAATACTGTAGGCGAATTTTACTCGTAAGTTTGGAGTTTAAGAGTTTGAACAGAGCCCAGTGACTTCGTACCTCTAAAATTGCAATTCAATACCTTTAAATGAATATAGTACACCCTACATTATTTGTATTGTAGTTATATGATTTTTTTTAATCCTATAGCTGGAATTGTATATGTTTCTAACAAATGATTATGGTAAAGTCTTAAACTACCCCATCAATTACATAGTCCTGGTGCAATGATGCTATGGCATGGCCAACTACAGGGTAAAAGACAACAGATAACTGTTCAGTCATTATCTATCTATTGGAGGTTCAGGTTTATGTGAAGAATCTTCTGCTTTTATAATCATAACAATAGATATGCAACTTATGTTTCTATCTCATTAAAAATGAAAAGTAGAATTTTTTACTAAACACATGGTTAGGTTTTCCATAACCATCTGCTGAATTTGTTCAAAATATTCAAGATTTTTACACAACATTTTTTTATAACTGCTTTAGTATTATATTTACATAGTGTTAAAAGTAAGGGAATAGTGTACTAAACATGCCTAATATAAACAAAAAGATAAAAAAAAATAACGGACTGTGCCCCAGGGCAGCATTACTGAAATTTTGGAATATTGCCCATATTTTATGGTATTGTAACTAGCAAACTTTTAGATGTTTAACCCGGTATTTACTCTACTAAAGATATGTAGTCATGGAATATAAGATCTTAAGTCTCCTAAGCCTGTGATAACACAATTTCTCAGCCGAATAAACAAATAGAATTCCTATTTGTATCTTTACTACATATGTCTTTCTTTCAAACATAATAAATCTGTTATAACAATGCACAATGTCAGTCTAAATATTTTGCTTGAACTAAGTGCGTTTAGTGCATTCTCAGTGCATGCAATTGTTTCTGTTATTACATTAATTTAAATTTCATTGTTTTCAATTTTACACGCATTTAATTGTACCTTTTACTTAAATCGCCTTTGATATTTTTATCAACAACAAATAACTAGTCTTGCAACTTGAAAATTCTACATCATTACTATAAAACTTATCATTATAATTATAATTTTATTTCATCTCTTCAATCAAGTTATAATCGTAAGGTTGGAGCTCTCTAACTAGTAAAATATACCTGTCTCAGAGGATTCTGCTCTTCCACAATTGGAAATTCAGGTACAATTTTTTTTTAATGCAACATGTGCACCTTGTGGTAAGCGACATGCCTGTTGCAGTGTCACTCAGAGTTTTATATCGCAATGATCTGAGGAGAACTGCCACTGCGCCCGTCACCTGGAGACATTAGTTGAAAAGTCCTATGTGCCTATGACTTCACTAACAGCATTACCTTTCAAAACTGTAATGCAGTAATGCTCACATTACTGTTACTGCTTGGAGGCTGAATTAGATTAGGTAAAAGGACTTCCCTGGACAAACTCTTTCACAAGGAGCTCTACTGCTACAAACATTTTAAAAGTTTTTGGCTATTGATCTGCCACTCATTATGTCAAGTACAATAGACTGGCACTCGTATTAGAAAGTTAGGGATCTTAAGTTATTGCTTGTATTTTGATTTAAAAAAAAAAACAGATTATGAAGGCATGTCACACTCATTAAAATAGAGGTGTTAAGATGATGTCATACAAGTAAGTTGTTATTAAACAACAATTGGTTAATGCAATCAGATATAGTCTTACCTTTGTTCTTTTTGTTTACACTTTTGAAAGGAAAATCTTTGGTGTTTGTTTACATAATTTGTTGATTGATGGAATCATACTATATTATAGGGATATTTTTTGTACCTTTTAAGGCAATAATAATAATAATAATAACTTAATGAAAATCATAAACCTGCATGACCATGGTCATATATCATTTTAATGTATGAGTGATGTATTGTCTCAAAGGTACAGTTAAGTCGGTAACGGCCAGCACGGCAGTCGGTCGGCTTTGTAGAGGACAAATTATTTACATGAACATTACTTACTGTTGATATTTTATATTGTACTAGCTGGTGCCCGTGACTTGTGTAGAATAAGTACTTCGAAGTAGCCTATTGTACAATACTAATTTTCATAGTTTTATTGGTTCTCCATACAAGCTTTTATCCCCCATTTCGCCCATTTTAAGACTTATTTTTGTGACAAAAAGTAGCAGTATGTACTCCAAAATCCCACCTATCTCTATCAAAATTCATCAAAATTGGTTTAGCGGTTTAGGTGTGAAAACGTAACAGACAGAGAGAGTTACTTTCGCATTTATAATATTAGTTTGGATAGTTTGGGTTAAAATGTACGTGTAAGGAATTTAATCCAGGAGCAGAGTGCCTGATAAATGTTGGTGAAATCACGAAGGGGCAGAGATACTTGAAAGATGACTGTCACAGAATAAAATGTGCCGAAATCTTTGAACAAATTTTTGAAGGCGTCATCAAATGGGCCATTTTAGAATAAAAGACACACACTTTTGTAAACTCTCTTA